GCGTGCGCGTGGTGGGTGGCGTGGGGGTGGGGCGACCCCTCCCTTACCACTCAATCAATCAATCAATCAATCAATCAATCAATCAATCAATCAATCAAAAAAAAAAAGAAAAAGGAAAATTGAATGAATCTTCCGTTAGATTCGGTTAGAACATGGAAATATACAATACTGCGTGTGTGTGTGTGTGTGGGCCTGTTGGGGATGGGGGGCGACCCCGGTCGCCCCCACTAATCAATCAATCAATCAATCAATCGACGAAAAAAAAAAAAAAAGCAAAATTGAATGAATCTTCTGCTAGACATGGAAATATACAACCCTACCTATATGTGTGTGTGTGCGCCTGTGGGGCCAATCAATCGATCAATCAATCACCGAAAAAAAAAAAAAAAAAAAAAAAAACCCCCTCTTTTTTTTTTTTTTTTTTTTTTTCGAAATACCTTCACTCACCCAAACCCCCCGACACAAAAATTAGTTTTTTTTTTTTTTTTTTTTTTTTTTTTTTTTGAGGGGGTGGGGTCGGGGATGCGCCGCCCCATGGCGCTTCCCGAATCCCCAACCCCCCTCCCCACTGGCCGCTATGCGGCCGCAAAGGCCGAGCGGACACGTCCGCAAGGTCGCGGCTTAGTACGCGGCCGCGGACTTGGGCGCGGATGGCCGCCGCCGAGGGGGATTCATAGTCGTACGACCGTCCGTCCGTCCGTACACACAGGATGTACGAAGACCCCCCGTACGATGTACGGACCTCGTACGATGTACGGGGGACGACACTGACTATTCTTGACGTCCAAGGGGAGTGATGAGGAATCATCTCCAAAGAAAATTGAAACAGCGTATTCCTTAAGTCACTCGGCTTGCAAGCGTGAGAAATCTGGGTTGACTACTACTTCTACGTAGTCTTCCCTGCTCGTCATTGTGTTTGGTGGAAGACGGGGGTGGAGGATACCTTATCGGAAGGGGGGGAGGAGATCTGTAATCTCTCCCCTGGAGTCTGAGGCGACGAAGCAACTATTGTAATATGGCACGACAACAACAAAATCAGTGAAATATAATAAGAGACTGGAAAACGGTTAACCAACTATGGAAAAATCTGCGTCATTGCCACCATGTGGAGGAACACTTGAAGGATCTGATTGAGATTGTTCCACTAGCATGGTATCGAACCCTCAAACAAGGGTCCTCCTTCAAAGAAGGAGATTGGGTAGTGACTAAGGAGGTACCGCCACGTATTGGTCAGGTTCATATGGTTGACCCTCGAATAATACTGGTGGAGTATTATGTGAGTACACGAAACGGAACATTGTGCTCAGGATAGGAGATTTGTGGGACCAAGAGAGAAGAGACTGTACGGGAAACTCTGCATCATTGCCACCATGTGGAGGAACACTTGGAGGATCTGATTGAGACTGTTCCACTAGCATGGTATCGAACCCTCAAACAAGGGTCCTCCTTCGAAGGAGATTGGGTAGCGACCAAGGAGGTACCGCCACGTAGTGGTCACGTTCATATGGTAGACCCTTGAATGGTCCTGATGGAGTATTATGTGAGTACACGAAACGGAACACTAGAAGGAAGCACAACTCCCTTCGAATAGGTAGACAAATCCTTGGTCCCTCGGATTCGGGTTATGAAAGGGAGCAGGGGGAAGGTGGCTTATCGACCGCAATGGGCAGTTCAGGAATTGGCCCTGGACCCAAGGGAATGGACTTGGCTGCTCCCGCAGGGAAAAGGGGGGGGGGGCAATAGGCCATATAGCCCCTTACCGATTGTCTGTTAAATCCACCTATAGGATGCTCAGGCCCAAGAGGAATTTAAGGGATGTGGTTATAGATCGTTGGGTCAGTCAGTTAAATGTGGACTACTCCCTCCTGATGCCGATCCGTTGGTTTAGAGACAAAAAATCTAAAGTTTCTAAACCTGCGAAAACATCTTCCCTGCAGTGGCAGATAGTGCACCGCTGCCTGCCCACAAATGACTAGTTAATAGACCGCACCACCTTGGAGCAGAGGGGACTGGCGCTGCCATGGTGTCGAAGATGTCTACACATGTTTCCCCCCAACAAGAGGGCAGAAACTATTGAGCATATTTCCATGCAATGCCCAATAGCTCAGTTTATGTGGCGGTGGTGGGATCGTGTCTGGCGAAAGATGGTGACTGAAATTCCCTGGCCATGGTCATGGCGGACCATTTTGGTAGGCCACTGGCCCTTGGAAGGAGAAGGAGAAGGCCTTTGTTGAGAACATGTTCTGGTTGGGTAAGAGGGCGGTGATATGGGTTCTCTGGTGGTAGAGGTGCGTTCTGGCCCTGGAAAAGGTGAGGATAGAGGGGGTGGAAATCATTGAATAAATCCAACGACAGGTACAACTAACTCTCTTAAGGAAATGGTCAAACACGAGGTCACAACTAGATGTTTTCACAGAAATCACAGACGTTAGGAGAGTAATTACAACATTTTGCATGGACTGGGTGGGAGGAGAAAGGGAAGGATGGGTAGCAAAGGTCACATAGCCCCCACCATGTGACCTTTGCTACCCATCCTTCCCTTTCTCCTCCCAACCAGTCCATGCAAAATGTTGTAATTACTCTCCTAATGTCTATGATTTATGTGAAAACGTTCAGTTGTGACCTCGTGTTTGACATGGGGAGGGGACAAGGACTGGTGAATCACGAGATTTGGAAGACATGAGGGATTACAAGTTAGTGTTCAAGGATTGGATTCATGTGGAACCTTCATTCCCTCTGCCCCCCCCCACAGATTTCCCAAGCCTTTTTCCTCCCCATGCTCTCTCTTTGACAGATATTCTGGTATAAAAAATGGTTTTCAAAAATTTTCAAGCTTTCACCCTGGGCAGGAAAGAGGATGAAAGGAGGTTCCACTGGTGCCCTCCTGTGGCCCCTTCCGTTTCTTCCGCATGGCACCCAGGCAGGCAATGGGACGCTGAACCCATTTTCCAGCTAGCATGGATCCAATGGACTCAATACGGCTCGAAGGAAGGGAGAAACTAGTGTGTAACGATGTATCTGGCCCCGTTTTTAGGGTGAAGAGGTTCCCCCTTCCTCCCAATATCCTGCTAAGTCAATCCCCGGGATCCCAGGGTAATCAATGCTGGCAGGAACACCCCACAATGGTTTTCTGATGTATTTCAATTTCAGTCTGTATAAGGGACGCTGGACCCGCTTTCCAGCAGGTGATGCTCCCCATTAATAGATGGAGCCTCTCCCCAGGTGCTCGTGGTGTCTGCTTTTTTTTTTTTTTTTTTTTTTTTTTTTTTTTCAACAAACAGCCCGAGCAAATGCTAGGGGTGTTGATAGAAGCAGGTACCACTAGCACTCCCGGGGAGGCTCCATCTATTGGTGAGGAGCAGCACCTGCTGGAAAGCGGGTCCAGCTGACCGGAACATTGACAATTGGTTTGTTTTAACAGACATGTGATGAGCGGTCGTTAACGATGATCAGTATTGATTGCCCTTGTACGAGGGGATTAACTGCCCATCAAAAC